GCCACACGGGCATCCTGGAACTCCACACGGCCGTGTGGGTCGTGGCCGTGTGGAAATCACCGAGCCTTCACACGGGCAGCTGGGAAAGCCACACGGCCGTGTGGCCTGGCCACGTGATCGGGAATTTCTGTTTAAAACCCGATTTTCAGCAAAAGGACAGGGGAGAGATGGGTTTTTGGTTCCCAAACACTCGAGGGACGAACCCTAGAGAGAGAGCGACTTGGGAACATTCTTGGAGCTATTTTGGAGGATTTCTTCGCTATTGGAGCTCGGGAATCAAGCTTGGAGATGGAGATTGAAGATCTAGATCAGATTTCTGCAGTCTCTCTCTTCTCTATGGAGTAACTTCCCTTCACTTAGGTTTTGAGGAACCCTAGTTCCATGTGTTAGGATCTTTCTTGTATGAAGTTTTGGATGCTATATTGTTTGATTATAATCGATTGAGGCATGATTTATTGAGTCAATTGAATCTTGATCAAATTCTCTTGATTTCTGCTTTAACCTATGATAGATAGAATCTGATTAGGTTAAGAGAGCTTCCTTGATTGATAGTGGTGAATTGGTTGTGCGAGAATCAATCAATTCACTGCTTTGTACTGGAATTCATTCCAGTAGTGGAGATTTGTGTGAATCGCCTTAGCAGTCTATCCCGGTGAAGGCTAGTCGCCTGCCGGGTATTCTATCTGAGAGGCCTTGGTCAGCTTAAGAGATTCCAAGCTAATTTAGGATCTTCCGCAGTTTAATCAACAGTAGATCAACCAAAGGTAATTGCAACTTGGACCTAATTGAGGAGCTAGGTGGAATCATACCTAAGTGAGTTCCCAACTTGTAATTAGTACAGTAGTCAGTAGAGTAGTTTATAAATCAATCCTTAATCTAGTTTGCTAGATAATGAACTGAAACTGAGTAATAGTAACTCTAGAGACCCGTGGATTCGATATTTATTACTTGTGCCACTATACTGCAGTCCCTTTCATTGGTTACACTTGGCCATTGTTAGGTGTTGTGTTTTAGCGTGTCACTTGGCCTATCGACCGAGAGAGTGAAGCTTCTTCACTTCTTGTGCTCTCCTACAGTTTACAACCACCTTTACCATACACTTGAATTTGTTTCGACTAATCTGACACCTAGCTAGGGGGAGCAACACCCGGGTGAAGCCTTCTCAATTAGTGTTCAAAACCATTTATCTTTCCAATTTCTTTTAATTGCAATCCATAGTTTTAACCAAAAATCGATTGCTAGATAATGTTTCAACTGGTTGAAGTAGGGGTGCATGGACCGGCTCGGGTTTGACATTTAAATACTTGCTCTATACTGCACCCGGCTATAGTTTATACTTGGTCTCTATTCGGGATTTAAATCATGATATTCGAAGAGAGTCAAATCCCTTTTTCAGTTTAGACTTTTGTTTCCTTTCTATTTTTTTATTATTTTATTTTCTCTAGACTATATAAAGGGCTGAAGACATGATTTTTAGCAGACTTTAAAGAATATTGAACCTTTATCTTGGTTTTGAGCTTTAAGCTTGAATTTTTCTCTGTATTAATCAAGTTTTCTTCTTGATTGTGGTCGAGAATCTACTTGATATATTGATCGAACCTTCTCCTGATTTGTGCTGAGATTGCACTTCCAATTCCATTCTATCCCCAAACTAACAAAACCCCTAAATATCCATTTTCTTGTTCGTTCTTGATAACAATTCCATTAGTTGCGTGCTTTGATAACTACGGGTACAGGATCCGTGCTCGTATCAAGTGGTAGCAGAGCCCCGGTTCAACACAGTGGCGAGATCGAAGGTGAGAGGCCCTGTTGCTTCTTGAACAATGTCCAAAGATCCGATTGCAGAAAGCAGAAAAGAGGAAGAATCGCTCTCTGAAGAAGAAATCCCAAGCGAAGAACAAGCAATGGGAGACCAGAGTCAGGAACATGCAGAAGCTTTAAAGTTGCTCGCCACGCAGATGTCGCAGATTGGAGCCTTGTCTCAGGCTCAACAGGATGATACCAAAGCTCAGCTGGTTGAGACGTATCAGCGGCTGGATACCCTAATCACCAGGTTGGAAGCGCAACCACCAGAAAATCCAGCAGTTGTCGCAGCTCTGACTGGCACCGGGAACCGAGAGGGTCCCATAGCAAATTGCATGTACCAAGCTTTTGTAGAGACCCCAGATTGGCATATGCAGAGGCGCCAATACACCGAGCAACATCGTCAGGTAATCCCGCATCATAGACCTCCATTTAATGACTATGAGAATGATTATCATGAATATGGCGGAAAACCACCAGAAGGAGGGGGTTACTGCGTTGAACCGATTCGAGGGATTAAGCTCTCAGTCCCATCGTTTAAAGGAACTAATAGTGCATCATCTTACCTCGACTGGGAGAGGAAGATGATTATGTTTTTCCAATGCAATCCTTACCTAGATCATCAAAAAGTTATTGTAGCCATCTATAATTTTACAGATTATGCAGCAGTTTGGTAGGAAAAGATTCAGCTTCAACGAAGAAGGAATCTGTAGCCTGAAGTTTCTACTTGAGCAGAACTCTAAGGCTTGATGCGCGATCAGTTTGTGCCTCCTTTCTATCAGAGGGTTCTTCATGATGCCTTGTAGGGAATTCGGCAAGGAATACGGTCGGTTGATGAATATTTCAAGGAGCTGAAATTGCTTAAGATGAGAGCAGATGTGAGGGAGGACAACGAAGCTACGATTGCTCGCTTTCTGCATGGGTTCAACAAGGAAATAAAGAACAAAGTAGAGCTTCGTCAGTTTGTGGAGTTGGAGGAGAGGCAGCAGAAGGTGAGTTCCGGAAGGCGGTACCCACCTTCGCCCACACCTGTTGCAGAGAACATTCCTGAGGTGAACATGAATCACCCTAAGCACGAAGGGGACAAGCTAGCTGTTAGGAACACGACCCCAGTCACCCAAGCCAGGTATGAAGGCTAATCTGGAAGCATCCAATGCTTCAAGTGCTTTGGACAAAGAAAAAAATACACATAAAAATACACTAATTATGATCTACACAATGATATCTATTTTGCTATATTTTGAACAAAGAAAAAAATAACCTTTCAAAACACGTGTCAATTGTATTATTATCACTAGTACCCTCTTGGAAAATAAATCACGATTATATATATATGTAGATACTTGCTTAATATGGATAGATATAGACATCAGGACTCCATTGTTACGAAATTCACCTTTCATTAACAATATGATACACGCAAATAAAGAACACTATAACATAAGATAACATTAAAAATCCTTAATTTTCTAACCTGCATTTACACAAATTTCTCATTCTACTAGATGTAAAAAAAACATCCTACTATAACAAAGAACACATTTTTAACTCAACGTATTTCTTTTGGTAAGATAAAATTTCTAGGTCATCAAATGCATTTTATAATGCTATATGTTTTAGTTTATTTGATTGTCTAATACGCTTAGCTAACTATCAAAATGTCACTTTTCAAATTTAGATTGCAGGAAAAGTAAGTTACGCAGTCAAATAATTTCTAGCTTGATGAATAATTACTTCAACGAATATATTGAAAGAAATATATAAATGAATAAATATTATAGAATTCATTTATAAATTGGACCCCAGTTCTGGCTACACCACTGATTATCACTGTCATATCAATTATATCAGTGTTATATTGATCATATCACTATCATATGAACCATATCAGTGTCATAGTGATAATACCATCATATCAATGTCAGATATCATCACTATGATATACTGATATAGAGACAATATCAATGACATTAAGATATTGTCACTATAATTATTATATTATCACTAAAATATAATGATAATATTAATCATAGTAGTGATCTTATCATTATGATAGAGTGATAATATCAATCATATAACCGTCATATCATGATGCGATATTATTAAAACTGAGTCGGGCCGATCGATCAGATCGGTAAAACCAGCACTAAACCGCTAGTTCGGTTCGGTGCACTCAAATAACCGTAGCAGCTGGGAAGGGCGGTGTTTTAGCGGCCAGAACGGTTAACAGGTCGACCTGCTCGAACCGCCCAATTGATTTTGAGTCCTAACCCGTCCATCTCCTTTAAAAAAAAATGAAAAATGAAAAATGCAAGGTTGCTCAAGTTGTTAGTCTCAAAATCAAGGATCGCAAGACATGGGATGGGAGGGGTGGAGCTATCTTAGAAGAGAACTTTCAACTCCGCGAATTATTAAAACAATCGAGCGGCTCATTTGGTAGCCAAAAAATGTTCTTTCTTTGTTTCATGCGGGTTTTTGTGGGTTTGAGTTTCGGGTTTGGTTTCTATGTGGTTTGTAAACATTGTTATCTATTTCTAGCAAGTGAACTTTCTGAAAAAACAATATTTAACCTGGAATCTTTGATAAAGTCAAATATAAAAGAAAGAAATCAAAAGGAAAACAAGCTTCTCCGTAGAAATTCTTTTAGAATATGAAAGCTAGGTACGCTTTTTGGCCAAAACTTCATGTTACTGTTTCATTATTTGTCCGTTAGTGAAAGGGTTTTCCCTCTTTCGTCGTCCTCAATCCCTCATTAGATGGAGAACTCAAAAACTGTATAACAGAAAAAGAAAAATAGGTTTAGGAATTGATATCCCTGCCGCCCCCCGCCCCTACCATATTCTTCTCAATACTCTTCTCTCTCAAAGTCCAATCACATCACTCTGCAATTTTCTTCCAATCCACAACCATCTCTCCAACTTTACAACCAATCTAATTGGGTGAAAAAAGAGCTTTGACCCCTTCCCTCCATTGTAGACTTGCAGTACTTTCACCTTCTCTCGGTTTCCACCAACCACCTCTCCCATGCTCTATCCTCTCATGTTACACAATCACTGATTTTCTTCCACAAAATCATCCCTCCATCTACCTATACCATCTGTCTTTTCTCCATCTACTTGATTTCCAATTATCTAACCTACTACTATCTTCTAACTCTCATTTGTATCCCAATCTTTTATGTTCTTCCTCTCTCCTTCGACTCCAGCCGCCCGGGAAAACTCATAGGCAGCTATGGTGAGAATCCTTCGTTGTATCAGCGAGGACCGAGTGAAAATCGTTTATTTTCCCAGGTTATTGACAAAACTTTTATTCGTTCAGCTGCCGCCAACCAGAGTCGAACAAAATCGTTTATAGCTCCCATGGATGGATTCTTTCTGCTATCCCTGCTCAAGGTCCACCAGCACCATATTCGACTCGGAACGTCACAACTCACAAGGAGAAGAAGACGAATGAGGACGGCGGGGAAGGTGTCGGGACTTTCACCTCTCGGCAATGGCCACAGAGTAATCGGTACGGTGTTTCACTTATCAATGAGAAAATTATATATTAGGTATTGGGAGGAATCCTTGAAATTGTTACGTTCCCTTGATTTGTTTCTTTTGAGGCGTGAGTGAATGAATCAGTACAATTAGTACGTTGCAGTTTAAAATTCTCAACATATGCTTTTTATTCAAAGGCGGCAAGCTAATCGATCCTTTTATGTTTCTGTTGCAGTTCTGGTTTCCGAGTTACTACGCCTTCCATGGACCCAGTGGTTGATGATGAAGGAGTTGGCCCTTTAACAAAGACCAGCAAGAAATCTCGGGTCCACGAGTCCCCAGCAGCCTTCCTTTGAGTTCCTACTCAACATCTGGGTCTTAATCACAATGTTAGAGATGTGATTCATTACAACAGAACAGTCTCGACTTCAAAACATAAAGATGTGCAGGCTCAATTGCAACCTTAATCTCAGTCTTTTGTTAGTAGTTCGCCAACTCTACGCAACGACCCACCCAGTCGGCAAGGGAGGGGATGTTGCAGTTGTTGAGGGTTAAGAGGAGTCAAAGAGTTTGAAAAGGCTACATGAAGTAACCTTGGTGTTCAGTAAGTTTTGTGATTTTAATCTCTAATAAGTTGTTTCTTTTTCCTGTCTGTTCGTGAAAATAGACTTCAGAAATTTAACTTCGAAACATATGAGGTCATGGTGCCTGGAATTAATAGTTTGTATAACTTTCTTAAGATTTTCATCAAAGAGGGATGGATTTAAGTTACCATATGCTTCTATGTGTTCTTAATCTATGGTATAGAATTCTCTTACCCTTGGTATGATACCAGTTCTATGGTGGAATTCTTGAATGTTAGGACTTGTAGGTATATGATTTTGAGGGTAAGCAATTCTAAGACTGCATTTTACAGGTTTGGTTCAAGCAAAGAAGAAACAACAGTGAGGGTCAATATGGCTAGGCCAAAGCATAAGTTGGCATTTCTATATGTTGTGGTGAGTTCAATCAGTTGCTCTTAAGTTTTTTTTTTTTTTTTTTTTGGCTTTTGTCCTCTCAAAAGATCAACGATCATGTTGAGTTTGATTATTTACTTCCCAAGTTGTTATGATTAGATCTCTAAATTTGTTGTTCTCTCTTTGCCATTTGGGCAGTTGATCATTTTTGCCTATCAACATTGTACTTGCGAACCCTCAAGGGTCTTACCTTTTTGTGTAGGCATGCTCATATAAGCATTATTAACATTCTGTATTGTGATTTGATATTTTAGTTCAACTGACTTTAGATTGGTTTATTCTTTGGCAGAAGCCAAGGTGGAGAAATCGGATGATGAGTAGCAAAGAATTCCAAGGATGAATCCTACATTTAGTGTTCAGACACCAAGTGCGTTGCTGACAGATGTCTCTACAAAACATGTTGATGTTTGTTACTTTGTTCTAAACGCAAAGAGAAATTTATTGGTACATATGTTGTTGGTTGTACGTCTTTACATAGTGCTTTGTTTGTTGTCTTCGTAGATGTTGCTTTCGCTGACTCATGGTATAGGATCTTGCTAAGGAAAATGATGTTATGTAAATATAAGTAGTCAGTGGTATTTGGCGGGGAGATGTGGGTTTATTTGTCTATAAGCAATTATGTAGGGATTCCTTGGTTATTTTGGGCTGTTAGTTCTTTGTTTTGACCATCTTTTGTTTATCCAAACTGAAAAAGGAAGTCCTTGGCTGGGACACAACTCACACAAGGAATGATGATTGTTAGCCAGAGACCTGATTTTGATATCTTCACCCTATGTACCTAATCTGTTGCGGTTTGAGGGTGTCTATTATTTGTTGGATGGACCAAAATGAGTTGCCTGCACAATTATGGTTCACTATGTTGTTGGCCGTTGATACCACTGGGTTGCTTAGTATATACAAGTTACATGTCTATTGCATGATATTTGTATTCCTTTGGTGTTTTCTTAACACATTATCAATATAATAGATAACTAATTAACCTTACAAATCATGTTTTTATATATTTTGACCATTTATGCTTGAGAAGTTTCTGGATTCTCTATGTAACTTATAAGCTAATGATGATTGGACTAAGTGCAGTGGACATTTTAAGATGATTTCTTTTGACAAAATTCAATGTGTTATCATCTTAGATTTTGTATGGAATCGTTAAGGTTGCGAGTTAAATTATATTGCTTAATAAAGCATATGAACTGAATGTATAATTTTTAAAAGCTACTAAACATGTGAACACAAAAATATGTCGTTGCCTAAACATTTCCATAGGTGTAGCCATTAATGTCGATATATTTCCCGCGGCGTAGCCGTGGGTATTGATTCTAGTAAAATAAATTTTGAACTGCCACGCTAAGCAAACTTGAATATGTAGTTGTGATTTACCATCTATCCTCAGTTTCTTCTGCTTCTCAACTTCTTCCTCTACCTCGCTACTCTTTCAGCCGTTCTCCACAAATTACAGCCGAGTAAATAGACAATTCTTTCCTGAGTTGGATGTGGTTGGATGATCATGATCAATCAATCAATGGGGGGTGGAAATGCAAGTTCTATTCACAACAATGACACCTCAACCCCCATCCCAATCTTACTATGTACACATGAATTCCATACAAGTATTCTGTACACATTTATACATCTACAAGTTATTTTTAATTTCTTGGGTTGCTTGGTCACCTACACAAATGAAGATTCATTGCGTTTAGCACTGTGATGGTATGAACATAATCATTTTCCTCATCCTCCGATATACATGAGAAGTATATGCATCGGACTGATGTCATTGAATCACAATCCATATGATTTCAATTGTCCATTATACGTGATTACGAAGTAATCGGTTGATATCACACAAAATATGACGAATGGTGTAAGCTCTGACCGACTGACCGACACCACCTTGTTCACCCTCCTACCAAAATTTGAAATTTGGAACCCTTGCTGCTAGAGGCAGCACATTACTTTGCTTACACTTGCACTCGCAACACAAATAGAGCCACCCACCTACTCCTCCTATTCCTCGGACGTCCTTTCCTTTCTTTGCTCCCACGATTGAAAAACGAGAGCCCTAGGAGGAAGGTAAAGTAGAAAAACACCCTATAACTTGGCTTCAAAGCCATACACCCTTCTCAAAATTTCTCATTCCCATCTTCCCTTCTCTTGTATTCCACGTTCCACTCTACCCCATTCTGTTCTTTACACGATTCATAAACATATGAGCGATGTTCCAAATGGGAGTTATATATGCTCATCAATGCCTGCATCCACTCGGTGTCAATCTGCTAATCACTTCAATCACTCACCATGGGCGACAGATTTCGACTCTATTGCTCGTCGCTTCAAATGCTGCTCGCTGTGATGATCCTTCTGATCACTGCCACTACAAGTTTTGTTCGATCTCATGACAACCTGGAATTGGTAGATGATGATGAAGGATGGGAGATGGTGGGAAGAAAAGGGAATCAGTTCGTGCTGAACGGCCAACCATTCTACGTCAATGGCTTCAACACCTACTGGCTCATGGTACTCGCTGCTGATCAATCCACCAGGCCCAAGGTATCCCAGCTCTTCCAGCAAGCCTCCTCGGTAGGCCTCACCGTCTGCAGAACATGGGCTTTCAACGACGGCCAGTGGCGTGCCCTTCAGAAGTCTCCCGGTGTCTACGACGAAGACGTTTTCAAGGCGTTGGACTTTGTGGTAAGTGAAGCAAAGAAGTACAAGATCAGACTGATACTGTCTCTGTCCAACAACTGGGATGCCTATGGCGGGAAAGCTCAATACGTGAAGTGGGGGAAGGAGGCAGGCCTCAATCTAACCTCCGATGACGATTTCTTCTCCCACCCAGCTCTCAGAACCTACTACAAGGCTCACGTCAAGGTAAAAAGTAACACACTTTTTCACCTGATTCATCTGAGTTTTCAATGGCAGCCGCTGCACAACTGTTGTATTCCTTTGCGCTTGCTTCTGTGTAGACGGTGCTCAACAGAGTGAACACCATCACTAACGTGACTTACAAGGAAGACCCGACAATCTTTGCCTGGGAGTTGATGAACGAGCCTCGCTGCACCTCTGATCCCTCCGGCGACAAGCTTCAGGTTAGTTTCAATCACGTAAGAATGCGAGAGCAACAATTTTTGGCCAAAAACTGAATGACGCTTGCTTTCCTTGTGAAACAGTCATGGATACAAGAAATGGCGGTGTACGTGAAGAGCATGGACCCCAAACATTTAGTTGAGATCGGGTTGGAAGGATTCTATGGTCCTTCCACACCTGACAAGGCACAATTCAACCCAAACACATATGCCACACAAGTTGGAACTGATTTCATCAGAAACCATATGGTTCTTGGCGTTGATTTCGCTTCTGTACACATGTACGCCGACTCCTGGTAAGACCTCGACGACCTTGCATTTCTGTGGGTAATTTGCACTGGTGCCCTCGCTTTGGTCCTAGATGCGAAATTTTCGATTTTGTTTACTCACCTTAGCCTCATTGTCGCCAATAACTAAGGATATCACAAACCATCACCGATGCTCACGTTCAATTCACCAAATCCTGGATGGAATCCCACATCGATGATGCAGAGAAGTACCTGGGAATGCCTGTCGTTTTCACGGAGTTTGGAGTGTCTGTAAAAGACCAAGGCTATAACTCAACATTTCGAGACAACCTCTACAGCACAGTGTATAAGACACTCTTGAACTCGACAAAAAGGGGTGGGAGTGGAGCTGGAAGCCTCATGTGGCAGCTGTTCCCAGAAGGGACTGATTACATGGATGATGGTTATGCCATCGTTCTGTCCAAGTCTCCCTCTGCATCGAACATGATCTCACTACATTCGACACGAATTGCAATCTTCAATTCACTCTGTTCCTGGAAATGCAAATGGGGCTGCAAGAAGAAGACCGCCCTCGACACAATCCTCTACCACGATGAGTTGTAGAGAAACAGAAATTACTAATGTGCCATCTATTATCATATTTATCATATATGTACTATATGAAGGATGTTAAAATTTTCACAGTTTGTATAAAATGAATCAAAACTCTGGGACGCGCTTATGAACTCACATTGTCCAAAGGGAATCCCAGTAGCTATTTGGTGAAGCTGAGCTTTGAGAGAACTGCAGCTGCTTGATCTCCGCCCAGTAAGAAATAAGGATGCCTGAGAGCAGCAGCAGCTGATAGACGGCCCCTTCTAAGATACCCTCTCTCCGAAATCAGTTTAGTAGCTAAATCCCATCCTCTACCCGAGTCAAGGTCCAGAATCGTCAAGTCAGGCCTCAATCGAGTTGATTTCCGCCATCTATCCAAATCGTAATTAGCATTCTTTATCTCCAAATTAAAATTCTTCAACCCTGCTGTTGACCGCAAGCTCGGTATAGCCATTTGCAGTAACACAATTCCAGCAGAGTACATATCGAATAGATCAGGACTGTTCAGCTGCATTCACCAGAACATTCGCAAGAAGCTTTCATTTCAGCAATGAGACATTGTAGAGAGAGAGAAAGTAAAGTGATGAAATCAACCTCTTGTTTACCTGCCACAAGAAGGGAGAAAGCAAGGCTGCAATGGGCTCAGGTGGAGGGCTCGGGGTGTCATCGGGGAGCACATATTGTTCGGGCGGGCAGTAATCAGGATCAAGGAGACCGACCTTAGGGATGAAATTCTTGCCTATCCTGAGATCAGTGGCTGCCCCGAAATCTATGAGCTTGATCTGCCCCTTCTTTGTGACGACCAAGTTAGGAGGCTTGACGTCCCTATGCACTATCCCATTGTCATGGATTTTCCGGAGTGAAGAAATGATCTGCCGCATTACTTGCTTCACAATCAAGGCATTCCGCTGAACAGAATCTACTCCTTGCAGGACACGACCAAACATGGGTGACTCTAAGTTAAATGGGAAGCTACGATCTTTCATGTAATCTGCCAGTGTAGAATCGCCCTGTCACACACCATTAGGATCATAAGATAAAAGATCCGAAGAGCGAAAGCATTGGAGGATGGTCGAAAGGGTGATTTGCTGAGTTACCTCGAACTTCCAAACGAGCCATTTCCCACCTTTGGCGAACTGCGAGGTTGTTTTGTCGGCAACAAAACTTCCTAGGAATTCAGCGCATGTCTCAGGAGCTGCTCTGGCCAGTCTGTAGTTAAACCATTCCTCGAATTCGCCGAATTGCTCAGCGCCCTGGACTCCAATCTTCACCTGGGTGTTTACACTTGAACATATTACTACTCGTTCCAAAAAATTCAGAATCGAAGTTAACAGAAGCAAAAGATAAAACAGGGTTTTACCTTCTTGAGAATGACCTTATCTTTGAACTTGGTGTCCAACTGCGGTGATTTCCTTCTCCCTCTTTTGGGAACCCTATCCTGATCTTCTACTGCTGCAGTATTGGCAGAACTCTTGGGAAGAATCACTCCCGAATAAACAATGCCGAAGCTCCCTTCCCCGATTTTTTCGCCAAGAAGGAAATCGGTCCTTTTCAGGCTTCTCCTTCCAATCAAGCTGTCGAATGCCTGTTGAAGAGGAGCAAGAAGGTATGCATCAATGGCGCCGACGAGAACGCCGGGTCTGGCGGTTAAGTAAACCCAAGTTAGCCCAGCGAAAAACAGGAATCCCCATTTCTGCGGTTCGGAAAATTCCGCCGTGGCGCTCTGGAATTGAACTAATCCAGCTTGAACAGTAGGGAAGTTGTCAAGATTGAGAAGGGCGCTGTCGAGTAAATCGTCAGGGCCTGAAAACGCAAAGCACCTGCCGCCGCCATGGATACTTCTTCTGATACTGAAACTATAGGGAGCGGGACTAACAGGAGCCAAGCAAGTAACTTTGCTTTTGAGTTGAAGGGTTGCAACATTTGGGAACAGCAGAGAAGCCATGGCGAGGGAGAGAGTACAGAGAGCAGAGCTCTTACGAGATCATTAGTTCAATTTCTGAGCTCGCTGAACAGCAGAGTTCGAACAAAGGATAATTCTTTTGTGGACGCGTGTCTTACCCAGAACCCGTCGAATATGTGGACAAAGATTATCATGGCGCTGGGCTTGGCTGAGCTAGCATCCTTGTGCTACCATGGGCCAGAGCCCAACGCCTTCTATCATCTATTCTCACTTCTCAAACGTTAATGACACATACCAGAACCGAAAGATGCAATGAACACAATTACTGCAAAGCCAAATGAGGACACCAGAAATTCACTTCAAAACCATAGTCAAAGTACAAGTCAAGAGATAGGCCCTTGTTTCATTCGGTAGCCATCACTAAAGCAGTAAAAGCTGATTCTGCAGAAGTAAAAAAACTACTTGGCATGTCCACAGATAGAAACCCGTAAACATTCACGGTTCGTGAAACTAAAGAAGAATAGCCAGTGGGCTTAACATAAGCTGTCATGCTAATTAATATAAGAGGCTGCCCTGTTGAAGGTAAGACCCTGCAGGCCTCACATAAGTAAAGTCGCCAAAAGGGTTTGCAACGGTGATCTTGGGACTAGCAGCTGGCGAGTCGGATAATGGCATGTCGGTCCATTTCTTCTCAAAGTTGGCAGTGCAGTGCTTCCCAGCTACGTTTGGGCGGAAGCTTGGCTCGACTTCTCTTGCATCCAGCTTCTTCCAATTGATTGACTTGAACCATTTGTGATCTTTGATTTCTTGGCTGCCCTTAGCTCCACATCCTAGCCGCCTGCATGATTCCTTCTGTAGCAGCTGAAAAGCAGCACAGAATCAAAGCCCATCAGTGCCCTATGCAGAGTAACAGAACAGGTTCCTGTACATTCACAAAAGAATCCAGCTTGACCTAAAGAGACTCACCCCTTTAAGTAGACTATGTGCTTCACTTGACAAGAATGCTGGCAACTTCATCTTATCCTTGACTATCTTTTGCTGAATTTTCTGTCTGTTCCCGCCAATGAAAGGGGGCTGCACGATAGTAAAATTGTGAGCTAGTGCACCATCTAGAATTAGGAATAACAAAATAACCTAGCTTCTCAATGATAAAGTCATACATCGATACAAATATTTATCCACAACCAGGTCCCGGCCACCCCTCAACAAACAGGAAATAGAGATAATAGAGGAAAGCTAACCTTTCCAGTCAGCATCTCGTACAACAAAATGCCAACACTCCACCAATCAGCAGCCTTATCATGGCCCTTCCCTTGAACAATTTCAGGTGCCATATATTCAACTGTTCCGCACATTGAGTTTGATCTCGTATTATCGTCAAATTCCTTCGCCAGCCCAAAATCAGTCAACATGACCTTGAAAAACAGAAGTAAAAAAACATGTCAGGCTGTTTGCAACGATAACTCCTCTATGTAACCTAATTAAGCATGAACCAATGCAGTCACAGAAAAAGAAACAGAGAGACGTTACATGGCCTTCTTCGTCAACTAGGATATTCTCAGGTTTCAGATCCCTATGCATTATTCCATTTGCATGGAGGTGAGACACAGCAGAAACAATTTCAGCGGCATAAATACGGGCCAAATCCTCTCTGCAAGACAAACGAAAGCAAGAGATCAGTTACACCCACCAACTAAAGCTTATGACTCTCCTGTAAAATCTAGAATGGAAAACACACACGTGTATACATATACCTGAAAAGCCCTTGGTGATAAAGCTGAAAGAACAGGTGTCCTCCATTTATGAAATCTAAGACAAGGTATAGCCTATATTTGGTCTGCAAGACAAGGCAAGTTAATAGCGTTCTACTGAGCATAAATTAAATGTAAGAAGACAACAATATGAAGAAAACCACCAAACATGTTGAATTATGTGATCAAGAAATAGATTACCTGGAAAGAGTACTTGAGTTGGACAATGAAGGGATGGTCAACTTTTGTGAGAATATCCCTCTCGGCTTTCATGTACTCAACCTGATTCTTCTCCACTATCTTGTCCTTCCTCATAACCTTCATCGCATAGATTTCAGAAGTACCTATTTTCCTAACCTGGAAAACTTTCCCAAATGCACCCTGGCCAACAACCTTCAAAACCTCAAAATCTTCAATGCCTACAGTGCGACCATTCATGGATCCCGCACTGACAGCACCGTCAACAACAATATCATCGTCGGATGATTCCTGGAGCTCCTTAATTGTTTCTTCCTGCAGACACTCCACAAGTACCTCAGAGCCCTCCGTCTCATGCAGAGTGAGTTTGTTGAGCTTCAGCGATTGGCTGACATAAGAGGAAGGGCCAACCAATGAATGCGAACGGTTGTGAATGACAACAGGATCGTCATAGACTAGTTCCGCTGCATCAGATTTAGCAAAATCAGCACAGTTGGAGGATTCGAGTGATGCCTGCTGCACTGGCAAAGGGCCAAAGACATCGGCGAAGTCTAGCTCCAACTGGTCGGTGACAACAGCATCCGGAGGGTTCACAGGAAACAACAACTTGCTCTGCAGCGGTTTGTATGCTTGGGGCCTAGCCCCCCTGGACAAACCAGGTAGAGTTGAGGAAACCATGCTTCTTAAGTTCTTTTAACAAGGGAATAGTAATAAGCCAACTGCAGATGGCTCGGGATGTCTGCTACTAAAGGGGATGCCAACTGCAGATGGCTCAGAAGGACGGGAAGCTAAGGCGTGATGTCTCCAGAGCACTTGTCAATGGCCTTAATCAAAAGGAAGCTAACGTAGACGATAGGAGTGCCTAGGAACTTTGGCAACAAGCAGAAAAGAATCCAGAAGAACAAGGTGTTGCCGTTGCTGTTGTTTCCCGATCTGCAGGAAACTGTGGATGCTCCAGCGGTTGTTGAATTCATGAAGGTCAGTGCGTCCGAATCTAAAACGTCACAAAGAGGAAGTTAATGTCAGAGGGAAATCACAGACCATAAGACATCCTACCCAGGGCAAACAAAACCCAATTGATAATCCAGGAAACCCAGAAAGATGAAATTGCAAAAGCACAAACCCTTTGCCAAGACGCCAAGAAATTCCTAAACTTTGACAACAAACGAATCTCGGGGAAATCTAACGCATAATTCAGCCCATAAACTCAATTCTATCATCAAACTTACTACTATTATCTAAAGCATTGAGAATATAAATAAGCTTCGCCGGGAACTACGAAGTACCCACAAGTAATGGGGAGTTGTTAGACGGAATGAAAATCAGAGAAATAGCGATAACCCACTATAGGCGAAGACGGAAAGCTTCAGAATTTTCGATATGATTGGAGAAATCCAAACACCAAAATTCAGATCCCGATCGATGTAATAGTAAATCATAAAAGGAATTACGAAACCCTCAAAACTAATCGAGCCGAGAGAGAAAGGAGAGAGAGCTGTACGCACCTTGGGAAAGAATGCAGGATGGAAAGGAGGGAAGGGGGGAAGGATTTGAAGGAGGAAGGGGAGAGCCTGGATCAGGCCGAATGTTACGCGTCGCCGCTTCTTGCAACTGCAAGCTGCTACGTCTGCTTCTTTTTTTTCTGGCTTTTTGGCTTTTCTCATTGACGTGCCATTGTTGCCATTAGATTTAGAGCAGGCGGGGGAGTCGGGGAGACTTTTGGAGTTGTGAGTTGTGGTGGCCGGTGGGATGATCTTGGTCCGTTCAATTCTGGAGGCCCAACACGTGGCGTATGTTTATTGGCACACTCGGGGTTGCCACTCCCTTCGAAATCCGGGCCCACCACAGCCAGAATTCGGAGGGATGGAGGATTAAGATTAGGGATTTAGGAATATGCTAATGTGCCCTTCCTGGAAAGGTGCCGTAGCGTAACTGCCCCAACTTGTCTCTAAGTTACGCAAATGCCCCTCCGTCTCCAGTCATTAAATTTTACTGCGGGAGGGTGTTTTGTTTATAATTAACAACGTTTATTTACTGCGTTTACGATAGAGAACATTACGCTAACGTTGTTTCAGTGGATAGGAATAGGCCAATAGGGACACGTTTATTCCGTTTTCTGACCATCTTGGTGAATAGTTATCCGAACTTTCAACTCCTATTATTATCCTTGTCTTTGGTTGAACTGAACTTCTTTGAGCAGCGTGAACAAATTGAGTTCAATCATGGTTTCCCGTTGTACAATTAAGATATTCTCGATTGTGGTCCTTTTCATTATAATCGTACGATAATGTTTAACAGTTCAGTTCGGAAAAAATAAGTTCGATGCTTCTGTTAAGGTTGGTAATAGGTTCGGTTTCGGTTAACCACTAATCAATATAGTGGTTGCCGATTAGCGGTTAACCAATAAGAAAAAAATCATGTCGATAACCAAATTGATAAGTATTATCGTTTAACTGTTTATTATCGGTTCGGTTAGTGGTTAGTTAGGCAGTTAACCAATAATCACTATCATACGTTCCAACAAGTACGAATAAACCTAATCAACCCGTATATCAAACCAATAACTTCTATTTTCTTTTAAGAAATATAATAAAGCAAAAAAAAAATCACTTGTACTACATCATCCGATTAAGTTTAACGAGTGTCTTTGAATCCTAACCACCTGTAAAACAATTTAACGACACTTTTACCAATGACAAAAAATAACATCAACACAACATCTATCGTGAATTCATTATCCAAATCCAAACAACAAAACATAAACTAAAAAAGAATCAAACGACTCTATCTAATTTGTTAATACCAACTACCAAGACATCAAACACAAGAACCCACAAGAACCCACAAGACCTTCATCATCCACAAGCATCAAAGAAACAAAGACTACTTGGGTTCCGACTATTAAACACATTTAAGACTTTGGATGGAGAGTTGTTTGAAATAAGTGAAAATTGAGATGTCTAGAATTGTGATTTTGGTTGGTTTTGAATCTTGAGACTTTTACCCTTAGTTAAAGACAAAAACTATGTGATTATATTATACTAGTAGGCGGTTATCGGTTATTAAGCGGTTAACCACTAACTGATTAGTCGGATAGCGATTAACCACTAAGTAAAATACAGCTAACCGAAACCGATCCACAAAGAAATTAGCGGTCATCAGTTAATCATTAATCGCATCAATTAACCATTTACCACCGTTATATGTTAGTCAAGGTTGTCAAACCGGTTTATGCCAGTGTGTCGGTTTAGCAAGTGGAATGGTTCGACCGGTGGTACATACCGGTTTGTGCCGGTTCATGCCGGTTAATATTACAAATAATTTACAAATACTCATATTTAAACACGACATTTAACGTCAATACCTAAATTTTTGTACTTGGATCCAACAAATAACATCAACATTTAACTTTTCAACACATAAAATAAATAATAAATTATTTTTTATCAACTAAATTCACTAAGATAAGGTCATTTTACTTGGAGATTCGTATATCGATCATGCCGGTCATACCGGTGGTGTCATGCCGATTTTATGACCAGTACAGGTTGAACCAGATTCAACCAGTGGCACGCCGGCCGGCGTGACAACCATGATGTTAGTACATGGTATATGATTCACTATGGAACATCTTCCAACAATTCAAGTTATTGGGATTAACTGGTTCTTGACATGGTATCAGAGCTTTCTGTGACTAAGAGATCTTATGTTCGATTCCCGATGACCCCTATCTGTTTCTGTTAAGCACATGGTGTCTGAACCTGTACAAACTTCAAGCCCATATGTGGTGGGTTTTGTTTGAGGAGATGTGATAGTACATGGTATATGATCCACTATGTGGACAACTTCAACGAGATCTTTCGTTTTCTTTGATATATGGTTTCAATACATAATTTTTGCTCATTAAATTTAGATCTAAATCATACACATTAACAAAAAAAAATTAAGGACCATCAATTTTTTTATATTAAACTTATAATTAATCTAAATATCATCCAGCCGAAAAGAACACAAAATGATAGATTATGAGTAGACAAATCTACCTATACAATACTTATACAAGCTATTATTTACCAACTATACTAATCTACAAATATATTATAGTAGAGTTGGTGGCAGTTTTTCTGCATTTCGAATTTTCTGCAATGAGAGCGAAAGTAGGAAGGGTAATTGTGTCTTCACAATCATTATTTATTTTTCATTCATAAGAGGAAAAAAACATCAATCTCGGGATTCGAACCATGGTCTTTCCCAAAAAAGACATCAACCATTACCAATTACACTAAAGAAATATTCAGTATCTTTTTAAATATAAAATCTGAAAACCTAAAATTGAAAAATTATATGATTTTTTCACTATTGTTAGCTAGCCCACTAACTCTTCTGAAAGTACTTTCTTTGTTATTTAATATTTTAATTTTCATATTTTTGATTATTTTAATTTGAGTTTAATAGTAAATTTAATTTATGTCCTCTTATAAATGGAGAATAATTTTAAAATTGCAACACAAATATCATAGATTCGAATATTGTATATTTAATTGCAGTATTGAATGTGTATATGTGATGTAGAATTCTTAAATTGGTATTAATTTTTAGAACTATTAAAGCAACGATATTGTCATGAAAACTGTAAGTGACCAGTTTTTTGAAAATTTTAGTTTGGTCAATTGTTAAATCCTCAATTTCATGATAATATGACATGATTTGAAAAATGGGTGAGTTTAAGAGAACACAGTTTATGAATACCAATTTTTATAGATGATTTTCAATAGTGTAATTGACTAGATGTATCATTAATAGTTACTTAGTTTAATATGAAATAACGCAATACAAGACAAATAATGAAAGTCGGACTGGAGTTTTCATGGACGCGTTGATGGGGTCATGTGCATTAGCAAGGTAGGTACCACAAAATATGTTTAATTTTTTTTTTTTTTTGTTGAGTGAATAAGATTGTCCTTCACCTCAATTTAGAGTATCTTGGTTGATAAATACTTTTTTCATTGCATAGAGTATGGATGGAAAATGTTATTTTCTTACTCATTTTGTTATTGTATTGTGCAGAATACTTAAGGTTTAGATAGTGCTATATATATGTATTGTTTCTCAAGCAAAAGAAATAAATATTGACTAAAGGTTATCATCATGAGTTTCTATTGATGCAACGCTTTTACAGACAAACTCTTTTTTTTTGTTATGTCAATTTTCTTTTCAATCATAGGCAACTAACTGACTACATCATTAAAATAGACAAGTTGGGAATGGTTATTCACAAGTGTTATAACCAAAGTTGTGACATCTCTACGGGTCAGCTGGTTGGACTAGGTCCGACCAAAGTCAGGCTCCAAAACGGGCTCTACAAAATCAAGGGTTTGATCGTTAAAAAGAGAGAAGAAGAGAGAGGCAAGGGGATGGTGGGTGGATCTTGAGATTGGTAATATTTTTAAGGAATTAGACTATTTGAATTTTTAATAGATATAAGTTAGTACATTCTATTTCAGTCAAGGGTAATCGGTCAAGTAGGAGAGGTAAGGGTCCGCTCCCACAATTGTGCGGCGTAATCGGTGAATTCGTACGTCGCAAGAAGCACCTTCCGGTTTTTGCTATAGTCACCAAATTGAAAGAAAAGAATCATCTTTCTTTCCCTATCCAGATACCCAGAGGCGTAGTATCTGGTCCACCTCTCAGTTCCGGCGCCGCCTTCCGTTGAAGAATTCGTCGTCCTCGCCACCGCGTGAAGTCATCACACTCGCCGCTGAGTTGAACCAGGCTCATGATACCACTTGATAAGCCCTAAACTTCAAGGCTTGTTGATCAGAGTTTGAACTCGAGTACTCAAGCTTGTTGTTTGAATTTAAGGCAGAAAACATAGTAACAAGATATGGTTGGAAGATGCAACTTCAACGCCAATCTGGGGAAGAGGCTCGATCCAAATAAGGTAGCAACTCGTCCACGATTGATGTGGTGAATCAATCGATGCTGAGCTTGCTCGTTGCTGGAATTTAATCAACTCAACAAGGTCAAACCAAGAGCACGAAAACTCTACGAACAAAGGTTCTTGATTAAAATGTCTACCTTTACAATAGAGTTTCTAGACCTTAAATAGACAAACTTAAACCTAATTCAACTACAAAACGAACAAGGAAACATAATTAAACTATATTACATCTAAGGTAAGAATCCAAACTGGAAAAGGAATCCAAACTCGTTTAAGCTTCTCTTTCTTCTAGAACAAGTAGGCTGCCTCCCAAAACAGGTTCCATAGCATCTTTGGGCTCTTCGTTCAGCCCCTTCCAGGTATCCATTTCTTTAGCCAATGTCTTGCTTATGTTGACACACATACATACTTTCATGTAGTATGAAGATCCTGTCTTGATTCGAAATCATCTTCCTGGAATAGAGCTTCAAAGTGACATTCCTTCATACTTAGGCAGATTCTGACAGTTTTCCTGTGTTGAGTAAGCATTTTGTCGAGCCTTGAAATTTGTCTTCTGAGTTTCTCCTCGAGCATCAAGACACCCCAGCTTGTACAGGAGAACTCTAGCTTCAAAACAAGCTCCCAAACTCACATTTCCATAGACTCAATTGAAAGAATCAAGCCCCACTAAAATCGTCAATATACTTGGCCAAAAATCCAGATTGTTCAAATGAGTTGGGTTAGCTTCAAGGAAAACTAATTATGAATCATATACTGATCCATGTGGGATCATATCATCTTCATGGAATGTTTTCCCAGATCCGTAAGCCGCCGCAACCAATGATGCCAAAATTGTCTAATATGAGGTCTTATGATGACAACGAGTGATATGGGCGTTGCATGCGAGCAGCACCACGGCGGCAACAATTCTGAACGGGTCGCATCGAGGAAAGTGGCATAGTGCTAGAAGATAGGAGGGAGAGAAATCCGGTAGCCACCATCCGATGCTCGAACTCTTCGGCTCAAATCGAACTCTCCAGCGAGTCACTTAATTCCAGAATCGTCACTACTGGTGGAGAAACAAGTTCTTCTCCGGTGGTGGTGGTGGTGGTGGTGAACGGTGCAAAGAGGATTTAACTGAGTCCCGAGGTGGTGCCGATTCAAATTAGAAGACGCAAAGCCGCCACCTAGTATGAGGAAGTGCGATGTGTACGCGGGATCTGCATTCGCTATGTCTCTTGCTCCATACGCGCTCCCGCTGTCGTCGACTACTCGACTACCCAGGAGATGCAGACGAATGCGATGAGGAGAAGGGAGAAAAGAAAATTTTATCCAGTACAGGTGGGTTACCGGTTGTTAACCAATAATTGGTTATCCAATTACAGGTTTAACCGATTTTCTTTCGATAGCGGTAGCCGACAACACTATGGGGGAAAACGGTATTACTGATAACCGGCTAGTTGGTAACCGATTAAACTGATAAACGACCGATTATCACCCCTAGTGATTGCCTATATTCTTTATTTTTTACAGAACAGTAACGTTTGAAATGCTCTAACTTCCCAAACTTCCAACAAGTAGGTTAAGCCTTCTTGTTTTTGCCAGCCTTGGATGAGTTATAGCCCTTGTCACGAGAACGTATCTTTCCCCTTTTATGGGAAGAAGTCCCTCTAATATCCATTATGTGAATAAATGAATATTTCTTTGTCTTTACACCCTCTTGCACCTTGAGGTTCTCCTCTTGCGCAAGTGGTTACCGAGTTGGGTGAAATCCAACTTTTCCTTCTTGTGTTCAAGCACATGTTTGAAGTCCTTCCAAGAAGATGATAATTTTTCGTTTATGCTTGACACATCGATCTCCTCATCCATGTTCAGATTGTGTTGAGTAAACTGAACATAGATTCGGAGCAATTCGTTATATTGCTCCATCATTGAGTGAGAATCGCTCATCTTGTAAGTGTTGAAATTACTTACAAGAAAGTTCTTGGTTGATGCATTATAGGCCAAATACTTTGCCTCTAATGCATCCCAAACCTCTAAGGCATTGTCATACATTTTGTAAATGTCGAATATAGAGTCCGACAAACCATTGAGTATGTGTTTTATTTAAAGGTAGTTGTCGTTCTCCCACTTATTCTTTTACGATTCATTTCCTCATTGTCAACCCCTTCATCCTCCAAGTTACCTTCCGGACATGGGGTACTAATCACATACCCCACCTTGAGATTAGTAAAAAGAAAAAGCATCTTCCTTTGCCATCGACGAAAATGTTCTCCATCGAATTTCTCAAACTTTCCATGGAGAGAAGGTTCCTTGTAAGGAGAAGTACGAGACATCGTATGAGAGAAATATTATTTCCGATTGTTGGAAATAAAGGGACGAGGGTGTTTGTACGAAAGCCCGAGACCGAGTGACTTGGATTATAATAGAGTCGTGCATGATGTTCACTTTTCGAAAATAATATTTCCACCCTCCGCAAAGTCTAACGTTACAAAAAATTTCTTCGTAGGAGAAAACTATCTCTGCTTTAATTTCTAGCCTTAAAAATGCTAAAGCACACTTTGAAACTTTTTAAGGAAGAATAATAATGGATTTTTTTTGTTCCGTATGTTTCTATGAGTCCCTCCATTTATATAGCAGAAAACATTGTACCACTTCATTCCAAGCTATGCATCCTTTGATTAAACGTTGTATTTATCCATGACAGGGAGGGGATATGTCCCTCCTTTCATTCAAACTCCCACGTAAATATTAGAGATCATTAATTGGAATTTTCTAATTCAACCAGTCACATGGAGAATAAAAAGGAAGTTGGTTAATTCATTAACGAAGGCTCATTTCATGAACAAACTTAGGCTGACCCCAACAGAGTCCTTAATTTTGGGGTTCTCGCCAAAAATGGCAAATTGACATTACCAACGGGGGAAGTAAATGACGAGCGACGCGTTTTTTGGGAGCTTTGACATCTGCTTTGGCAGAATTGGGGAAGTAAATGGCGATTCCCGGATATTTGGGGAGTGGGCATGGTGGTGGCAGGGGCAACCTCCATGCTCTATATTTTTAGTGTTTAATTTGTATTTAATTAGGGGTCTCGGATTTAATTAAGTGAAATTAATGCAAATTGAATTAATTTATATCTTTTATGGCTCTTTAATTTTTATTTAATAATTTGTTTAATTTTGATAAAATGACTTAAATTAAATTTATTCTATTTAAATTTTATGTTTATCATCTTGAAATTGTGTAAACAAAACTAGACCGATATAAGAATGATAAATATATTATTGAAACGAAAATGCGTTCTTGAATTACAAAACAAATTGTCACCAACTACAACTTTAATTGAATTATAATATATCCCAACACCGATACCAAGTAACAAATATGACTAATTAGGTCAATCATTTTTTGCCAAAAAAATATCGGTCTCGGAGTTTAAAAAAATTCTATCGGAAATTTTTTATTTACAAATGATGACAAACTCTACAAAAATTAACAAGAACAAATTATATTAAGATGATCATAAATACATTTTTAAGTAAAGGAAAAATAAAAAAAAGTGAGGTTCTAAAATTTGGAGATGGTGGCATTGGAACAAAATTGATGAAAATGGGGATAATCCCCAAATTTGGAGATGAAGGTCCCCAAATTTGTCGACTAGCATTGGAGTTGTTCTTACGTATTCATATATTAACCAACTCATTTCGTATAATTTTCCAAAATAGCTATTCCAAAAAGATTTTATTGTATCATTGTTTAATACAAATAGGATTTTCGAAACACAAGCAGTACTTTATCAAATAACAATCAATATGTGGGTCTAGTGTATGCATACATGAGAATACTAATCAATAATTAATACTAATATTAATTCATATAATTAAACTCATCATCATACTCATAACCAATTAATCAACACTACAAATATAACCAACAATATACTATCGAATTAACTAACATATCTAGATGGAAGACCTCTCGGCACACCCTTTTAGCCAATCCTGAATAGGCTGTGATGTTCACTTTCTAATTCAACTAATTAATCTAATTTATCAGTGAAAAAAATTTAAATCTGACTTAAAACAATAGAGAAATTGTTCTTTAAAAATTAAAGGGAAAAGGTTAGTGGCAGAAGGCGCCGATGTGGTGGCTGATGGTACGGTTATGCAGAGCTAGTCACACCAAAATTACTCACTAGATCCGAACTCTTATCGAAGAGAAGTTGTATGTTCTTTACGAGAAACTGAATACTTGCAGGTTTAATGCAACTCTTCACACTAATGCATGTATGTAAATTGAATTGGGCTAATAGCACTAAAAATACCAACCTTTAGTGATTGTGTCATTTCTATTAGGGGTCAATGCCATTTGTGTTATGAATTTTTTGTTGATTGTTAAACTTAACGGTTTGACTTAACAGAAGTCAAACTATATTTGACTCTAAATGACATGGCACTAGTTATTGTCCACCTAAGCGCCACATCAGTTATTATATAATTTTTATTTAAAAATTAAATAATTATTTTTTCTCAAATTTAAAAATTCATGAAAAAATAGAAACACATATCATACGTCCTCCCGCTTTGTTTTCCTTTTCTCGTTCAAATTTTTAGAGATGTTAGCCCAATTGAATTATATGTGACTTGAATTATTGTTCTCTCTCCAATTCTTTGTCAACATACAAACATTCATTATCAAATCCTACAAACAAACATGGAACTTTTAATCCAACATAGTCAAATCCTACATAACCCTTCGTATCTAAAATCCAGGGTTATACCATAGCCCCTCATTTTCTAAAACCCTAGAAGCAAACTACTCTTATGTGTTTTCCCATAATTGAAAAGGTAAGGGCTCAACTTGAGAATCAAATCCAAGTCATATTGTATTTAATTAGAATGGTTGCCTATCACTACCCGTCGTGGACCACCGACCAAGTAGTGAATAATAAATCCATCACCACTGAAAAAATTAAATGTCAATATTATCACAATTAATTAAGTTAAAAGTTGAAGATTCAAAACCAAAATTTTTTAAAGATCCACGTAAACCCGTCATGTATGGGATTTATTATATTTGTATGTTCGGCCTCTCAATTGGATATTATTGGGCCAAGAGATGGCTCCAGCCCACGAAGACCATGCAGCCTCGTCCGCCCAGAAGCCTTCGGTGCACAAGGAGGTTTCCGTGGATGACAATGAGATTCTTTCTCCAAAATCCAGTTGTAATCGTGAGCAATATACCCTAGGAACAAAAGATGCATTAGGTTATAAATATGTACACACGGCTGTAAGCCGAACCCCATCAATAACACAAATCCCTTTTTCCATGAATGTAAGTCTCACACACCGTGAGGAAGGACCACGTAAATATCGTCTCTTGTTATTCGATTTTACAGATATTCATTGATATTTCAACTTGGATAAAGGATTCCGATCCTACTAGCATAATTCACACTATCACTTTGTATTGAGTAGGTTAGAAGCTTATCACACAAATGTAGTGGAAAGGGGGAAAAGTAGGTAGTAGCGAAGTACAGAGAGGAACAACCAAATATCACCCATATTTTGTGGCAGGATGAAGCATATATGTTGTGTCTGTTTTTTTTTTCGTTAGCATCATACGCATGTCTATATACTTTTTATGTACACCAACACTTAACAATTTGGAGCAAACACAAATATTGGAGTTCATATCTTCACCATTTAAAGCAAAAACTTGTATTTGGAGCAGTAGGAATCAAGATGGCAAGCTCGACAACTCCGTCGTTCACTCCTCCAAAACGATCAATGTGGTCACCCCTTGACTCGACCGGTGACCAACATAGGTATCTTTACTTTCTCATTGCAAATTATCATATCAAAATGAAGGTGTTGGCATTTGCTATGAATATGATACCATGAACAAAAACTATGTAAAATCATATTTATAGGATTAATAAAGTGCATTTATGAGTAAATAAGCAAGATAGGGGGGCAAAAGGTAAGTTTAGAAATAATCATGCTTTTGTAAAATAGTATTGATATTTATACTGCTTAAAAATGAAAAATGTGAAGAATAATCCTTTGGTGCATCTTAATTCTTATATTCTTCTGTTTCTTCGTGTCTTCTTCAGGGACGGACGAAGGGCGATCCGCGGCTCCCTGTTCCAGTACAACAGTCGGCTCGAGTACCACTTCATTACGACGGCACCGCTGGGCGACACTTCGCCCGACTCTGATTCTGAAGGGAGCGACACTGTGCTCCCAGAAGTGGAGCGCCATAGTGGCGGTGTGATGGTGTACTTCCGGAAGGACTATCATACCGGTTTCCAAAAGACTGAGGATCTGAGGCCCGGTGCCCTGGCCGACTTCTCAGCTTTGCTCGAAGCCATTGAGTATGTCTTGAAATCCTTAATCCATGAAAGTGAAAGCCAAGCTCCCAAAGGTTCAAGCGTTAGCCTCTCCTTCTGGTCAAAGAGGAGAGAAATCAATCCGATCCACTACCCATGGGAAACCTTCACCTCAGCACTGATGAAGGTCGAAGCCACTGTTGTGGATCCCACTTTTCGACAGACTTAGGATCTAGATCGGTTGAAATAGGAAGTGGGAACGGTGACATTGCTAGTTTGATTTTTTAGTGGAAATTTGGAACTAGGAAGTTGGTGAAGCTTGGATATGGATATCAATGATGGTTGGATTTTGTTTCTGTTGACTCCTCTGTTTAGATGTGATAGGCAATCAACCTGAAATTGTTTTCGGATAATGGATTGGTAATATCAATGTTCAGTGTTATCATCTATTTGCAACTTTGCATTCCCTTTCTTTCTTCTTGGATAAAGCTTGCTACTGTGTGCTTAATTTGTACTATGAGCTGAACTGTTAGTCACTTCTGTTTTGGTGCTTGGGAATCATGGGATCCAAAGGTGTAAGTTGGAAAGTCGTACTGTGTATGCATATATAAGCTTATTGGAATGGAAGGGAAGGGGAAGTTTAATGGCGGAACTATGGAAGCTCAGATCCTTTCCAAAGTCTACTGTTGACTCACTATCAAGTTCTCACAATTGTTACTCTAGCAATCTGCTATTGAAGTTTTAGACATATTTACTATTGATAGGGTGTGCAAGGTTGTTCTGTGTTTAAATTCTTGTTTAATTATGAGAGGATGACGATTCATCATCGGAGGATGGGTTTATTTGTTTCCTCCATTTGGGTTTCTTCTGCCAAGTTTGTTTGCAGGGGGAAAGGGAAAAGTTGGTTTTGGCGTTTTTCAGGAGCTGGTGGGATGGAGAAAGACAAGCAGTTAAGACATGTTATTGAGTTCTGTAGGTTCTTTTTGGTTCAATTTAACAATGCTTCATGTGACAGACAATGAAAAGTCTTAACAGATAGGTAGAATTCTTTGAAATTAAACTTGGATCTTTGGTCTTTGTTAATCCAGGATGCTCTCCACTGACCTTCAATGCATACAAATTCTCAGGTTCTTGACGATTGATAATCCACATATACGTTAAGGTATCAAAGGTTTCGTGGAATCTTGGAGAGTGGTCCTAAGCAATAATGTTGTTGGATCGAAGAACAACAGTAGCCGGAATTGGGGGGACAAAGCTGGAGTGCCAGAAGGAGAAGTTGAGAACCATGAAAACTGCTTGGTGTGATGCTACCTCTGTGCTTGAAGCAGAATGGTGCTTGAAGCACATTACTGGTTGAACTCTGGCCGAGTAGCAGGGTGTAGCCAGGTGAAGAAGTTTGCCTCATTGATCATTTGCAGGATAATGATCAGGTTGTTTAGGCGGATAATGCAATGCTTCTCGAATTTGGTTGTGCTGAAACCCGTATTTTGGTTCTGCACCCAGGGTCATAAACTGCAACCTGTTACTAAAAGTTGTTTGGAGGTGGTTTTTTTTACCTTTTCATGACACTTAATTGACTACAACCTTAGGGGTCATTTGGATGCAGGTTTTGGGTGTGGGATTTGGGCACAATCCTACATAATGTGGGATTTTATTAAAATCACTCGTTTGGAAAGCAATTATATGATAAGAGATTTTAAATATTAGAGATTTCAGAAACCCACAATTGTGGGATTATGAAATAGCTGATGGTGATCAGCTATTTTAAAATCCCACATAAATCCCACAAATTAAAAACCTAGGTTTTTAAACCAGTGATTTGAGCCAAAATCCCACAAATTAAAAACCTGGATCCAAATGTAGTTCTTTTCTTTCTGATATCTTTTACTTCACAATAATGGCATTTCTAGGTCTGTAGATTACATTCAAGATAAATGGATAATCTGCAACAGCATATCAATCTACTTCAATCTGCAGCAGCATATTTGCAACATGATAAAGATAATTTCGTCTTACAAACCATTACACTAAACAGTGTTATCACAGCAGAAAGTACTTTAATCAGCTCAATGAACATTTAAAATAGATAGTTAGGCCTTCTTTGTGTCTTTATATTAAATTTTACTTTTTTTTTGGTGAAAGAAAATGTTTCGGAAAGTACAACAACACCAACAACCATAGTATGGTTAATACTTTGCAAAGTACAAAAGCAAAGTACTGGTTTTCCCTTATGCTGTTTTTGCAGGGATCAAGGATCAAACCAGTGCAATGAAACTCATTTTTTATTGCTGCAACCTGTAATTGGAGTCCCTTCGCAACCATTCTTTCGCCTGAGGTTGATGGAAGTTCAAAGCTTGCTGCTAGAATCGCTTGGAATCGTAAATAGAATAGTAGTTGCAGGAGGGGAGATGTGGAGAAAGCTTTGCCCAGTACCACGGATGCGTCGAGGTCAGTAACTTGACATTGGTGCTTATTCAGAAAAAAAGGACACCAAAAGCGATCCCTCACAATTCGAGCTCAGGAATCGATCATGTTAGGTGAGTGTTCTCAATTATTGATCTCTTAGCTCTATTTCTTCCATTACTACTTGCTGATATCGTTGAGTCCCAAGAGTGAATCATGAACTTGGTGGTACTTTATCTACACAAACACAAATCAAGTACCTAACTTTCTTCTACCAAAATCATTCACAGGTCCATTGGTATTTAACGATCTGGATTGATCTATCATCTCAAGAAGTATAAAATGATTTAAATGTAGCACTCAATCAATGAATCCAGAGCTAGCAGTATCCCATTTGGCTTTCTTTTCCTTAGTCGTTGACTCATCCTAGATTATTTTGCATCAACACTGATAGGTTCCCAGTTCAAAGCAGCTATCTTGTTCGATCAGTCCCATTACTAATCTCATCGTACTACCCAAAGAAGCTTCCCAGATTAATCAAAAACTCTGTTCAATCCTCTCCCTCTAGCTTCAGAACGTGTTTACTTCATATAACTGCTCAAAAGATAAGATGCATCAATAAACTATGAATACTTGCTACTAACTCATGAAGCAACCTGAGGCCTGAACTTCTATTCGACAGTAAGAGCACAGTATGAGTAAGAGACTCAGAAACACGATCATACTCAAGCTCCCACGAGTCACATATCAACATCGTCATCCACATTCAGGCTGTTATTCATGTTCTTTTTACAATAGACAAGGGGTAATCTGCTTGGCCAAGCACGGCTAAATCTCGCCGCGGCCTGCGGGTATTGATACTAGTTTTAAATATATTTTGAAGACTGGGCATCACTCCTTTAGTCCTTTTGATGGTGAGGTACTTGCCATTGTCACTGCTCGTTTCAAGTTGCTGACTCTGGCAGGTATAGACAGTTGGTCTCATGTTATGGTTTGCCATTGTCGGTGATCTTTGCAGGCGACTATATGCTGCCGAGTATGGCTGGTTGGACTTGTGTTTTTGGAGAAGGTGCAGAATATGCTTTCTGTCGTGCTGCCTTGTAATCCAGAAGCAGTTGCAGCTGTTGTGAAACCATTGTGGTTAGAGGTTAGTACAAGTGCTGGTCTTTCAGTAAAGAAATATGAAACTTCGTTGTAAGTGTTGTTCTGTCTCTTTTTGTTTGCAAGTAGGGAAATGTCTCTCTGGCTGGCTTGTTCTGTCCAGTCCAAGGGTTGGATTTTATTTTCTTCCCTTTGATGAAATAAATTCCTTATTTCATTCATCCTTAGATGGCAGAGACCATTTGTTTATTATTAATTGCTTATTTATAAGACACTGAATCCATTGTCAGCAAAAACCATCAACACTAACATACAAAGATCCATACTGCTTCAATTAACCCTCAGTTGCGGAGCTCCACCCAAATACGAAACAACCTCCTATAGAAAGTATGCCATGAAGGCGTTGTTGGATCCAAGTCTTCTACTGAATCAAAAAATCTACCAGATGTAAAGCGCATGTCCAAATCAAGAACTATGTCACTTTCACATTTGAGATGGGACTTCACCATCTTGGTCACTTCCTCCAACAGAAATTCGTACTCACCTTGCCTCTCGACCAACCCTAACTCCTTGTACTCTTGTTCCCCAGCTTGTTTGAAGTAGAGGAAATAATGTCGGGGATGGTACCCATGGTCTTCTGTAGCATCAGCTTCCCTCGGCTCAGAATTACACTCCGAGGACCCTGGTATGGCTGACAACTTACACGGCCACCGCGGATGCCTAACCAGAAACAGGTCACTCGTACCCAGCACTCGCCCGATCAACGTTGCACGAGCGCGTGCCGAACAGGAATGTGGCTTGCCGACATGTCGCGTTGGAACCACATTTGTCAACAACCTTGTGTCCCTGAGGTCACACATTGCAACCGAGTAGTCCACGTATGACAGATACACGAGATCCGGGTCATCAGGATGCAATGCAAGCACTCTGGCTCTCTCTATTCGACCAAAACATCTCTTCAGGAGCTCAGCATCATCATCATCATCATCAGAAGTATTCGACGACGATTCACCAACAATTGTCATCTCCCTCAGATCAACACAATGCTTCACTACCCACTTGGCTTCACCGCCAAATTGATCATGAAACACAGCTTGCCATACCCTCAAACAATACCCGTTTTCAATAAGATAGCACCACAAGAACCCGGCGCTCAGACAGAGCCCTGAAATGTCAGAGTACAAGTGTGAGCCTTCCGGATAAGAATCGATGACAACACGCAGAACATTGTCATCTGGGTCGTAGCAGAAGAGTGCAGCGAATCCATTCACCCAATAGGGCCGTCCATTGTAGAAAACCGGAGGGGACATGGATGTCCCTGAGATCCGTAGAGGCTTCCCTTGTGGATGCAGGACGGGTAAATCGCAGTCTCTCCATTCCCCTGTCTCCGACGAAAACAGTTCGACGGGGTGATTGAATCTGAATTTCAGGTCATGGTAGATTCGCCGGAGCCACACCAGTTTGAAGCGGTGTTGGGGGTCGGAGATGAAACCGACGTTTCGAAAATCGTACCTGTGGGGGCGAGGGGCGGGCGGGAGCAAGACAGACTCGTTGGTCAGAGGGTTGAAGACCAGATACCGGAGGGAAGTGGTTGGTACGGCGACGTCGCACTCGCATCGAGGGGCGTAGAGAAGCAGGCCGTGGTCGGAAGTTGCCAGGAGGGTCCAATCTCTGCCGCCCATTCCTCGTTTGGGCCAGGGCACGTCCGCCGGGGTCATTACGACCTGCCGGGAAGAGAAAGTGAAAGTGTAGTGCTGAGACGGCGGCTGGAGGGTCCGGACGCGGCGGCGGTGGTCGTTGAAACGCTCAAGGAAATAATAAGAGTCTCTGCTATGATTGTTTTTGTTCTCATCGCGCGGCGTTGTGGTGGCCGGAATCAAGGAGCGCCACCGCTTGCAGACGGATCGAGATCGGAGAGCGGACTGGAGAGGGAGACGGTGGAGGATTTCAATCAACAAAGAGTCGCCTAGATGGGTGAACTTGCCGCCGTCGCCGTTGAGGCTGTTACTAACAGCGCCACCAATCAGGGCCATTGACGGGGAGAAGATTATTCCTTTGTTCTTTTTTTAATTTATTATTATTATAGAAGAATAGAAACAGAAAAGAGTTTTGGTCTGGCTGAATATATATTTAGCAATATTCCGACCTGAAAAGGGAAACAGAGAACCCACCCCGGCGAGGACGAGGAGTCCTTTCGGCTTTCGGTTCATGCCAGGTAAACGTTGGATTTTGTTTCATCAGAAACTACTTATGTTTGAAAAGTAGTTAAACGTGAATGAAAGCGTGATTTGTATTAACCCATATTTTATTTTCATTGTATTAATTCAACATGTTTTCCACAATTACTACTAAATTGCACATTTCTCATTCTCATAGATATTATTCATTCTATATATCTTTTCGTGAAAAATAATTTTTTGTAACTGTCTTTTACATAGTCTTAAGTTTTGTCACTGTTTTATGCTAATAACATTTTTTTTACTAATATGCTAATTACACATGGGCTAATGCCTATGTATTATCCCATTGTCGTCACCCTTTGAACCATAAAAAACGTAAAATTTGAAGGGTTTGGTTTATTGTCCCATAAAAAACCATGTTCAGCTGGTTTTGGATATTTTGTTACAAGGTGTTACTAGGGGATACGAGTAAATCAGTGGTACGACCACTCGGTCATGACCTCGCGATATAAATAAAAAAGATATAAGTGTAGCCGTTAGCGCCTGTTCTCATTCGAATTCAAACTTCTCCCTTTCCCCAATATCTCGCTTCCTTCCTATTTACTTTCTCCATCTCATTCTCATCTCTTCATTCCACATTTCCACTTAGCAGCCCCCGACCCCGGTATCTAGCTAAGCCTAGAGAGAAAGAAAAAAAAAAATGCAATTCCTCCAGTCTCCAGTCACCGGCGACCAGAAGCCGAGGCCAAACAGTGGCCGGAAGCCTCTGCAACCCAAGAACTCACTGCCCGCCTCTGAGGTAGTCCAGATCTCCACAAAGCCACTCCCGAAGCCAGATTTGGGAAATGTCAACGTCTATGTTTCTAGCGGCGGGGACAAGGAGAACCGGAACCAGTGTCCAATTTACGCCACCCCTCCAGCTCGTAAGAAGCCCCTCCAGCAGCCGCCGTCCATCCCGCCGATCGACTCATCCCTGGCGGAGGAGCTGAGCGCGATGCGGAAGAGAATGGAGCGGCTGAGGTCGGACAGAGAGAAGACGGAGAAGATGCTCAAGGAGAGAGATAGGGTGCTGGATCTGCAGATGAAGGAGATGGAAGCGAGGGCAGAAGCCCAGATGATGATGGAGATGGAGGTGGATCGGCTCTTTCGATTGAAGGAGCTCCATTCTTACTCCACGGTAAGAAATCCCTACGCTACTTTCTGACTCCTTTCTGATAAATTGATGAATTTGGCCATATTGGTTAACAATTGCGATTCTACAAACAGAGGATTTCTCCGCTTCGGTCGCTTAGAGAGAAGGAGCAAGAAAGGAAGCTAAGCCGCGGATACGATGAAGAGGCGATGGCAGAGGAAGACGAAGGAAGCAGCGGATTGCAGCACCAGCAGCGTGGGAATGACAGTCCATGCTGCTCAAGCACAAGCTCAAATTCCATTTCAACCCAACAACAACTGGTTGTTGCTGTCTAGTTAGTGTACTGTTTGCGGGTTTATCTTCAACTTTCTCTGCTTGGCCATCGTCTCGATGTTTGATTGGGATGATCAGCTTTAACCTTTGCGGCTATGTTCAAAAACAGATATCACCTTAATGGAGCCTTGTGAATTTGAAACACTTCTACTATAATAGAATTCCATGTTCATGGAGAAGTTTATGGCACAATCTCTTCCCCGTTATTGTTATTTCAACAGCAACAAGACTATGCTTGCTACTATCAACTATGCATCTATGCCATCAAAACTCACTACTCTACAACAACTGTGAGCTCCTTACAGTCTACAAGAATACACTGATACAACCAAGCGGGCTGCTTTTCACAATCATCAATTATTCCAGTTACAACTTATAACATAGAACCAAAGGACCAAGCATCTAATCGACTCAGAAAACCGTAGAGTACAACTATGATATCACATGAAACAGATTCTAATCTGAATCTCATAAGACACAATTCAAATTAATTAAGAATGCTGCCTAACCCTGCTCTGCAATTTTTACCTAACCCTGCTTTGTTTATGAAGAAGTTGCAGAGAGAAGAAAAGGCAAACAATCCCAACCAGATGGCGGTTCTAACAGAATTTCCAGCGGTTGCTGCAGTTTACACAAGTTACGTAAGTAGTCATCGGCTCATCTGCGCTCCTGGTCTGCATCTGGTAGTAAGTACACTTCTTTTGACCACACCGCCCGCACCTGAACTGATCGGTCGTGGCCTGTGGCGGGCCGCCACGTTCACACTCGAACATAGCTTTGTCTCTCAACTGTTTATTCTCCATCTGCCTCTGGTCACTCGCCATTTCTTCAGGGGTCATCGTCATGAGCCTCTCGGGGTTAATTTGACCCAGCAGCACTTTCCTCCTCAAATCTGGGTTTTTAGGATCCTTGATGTTGAACATGATAGATCTGTACTTTAACTTCTGCGCCCCATTCGACTTCCCCAACTGGTCAAACATTGCCGATTCCACTGAGACAGCAACTCGGATGGGATCTCGTGCACGTACTTCGTGCTTAAGATCATCATCAACCTCTCCGGCAACTTTTTCTAGGGCTTCGGCAAGAAGTTCACGGACTTTGTCCCTCAAGGGATCATTGCATCTTACTAGAGAACTGAGTTTTGGAGGAGCAATAGCTGCTGGCTGTGGTGGTTTCTTGACATGGGGAGATTTTATCTCTTCCTTCACTAGTGTCTTCTCGACTTTTACAGTGTCCGGTCGAGCCCTATTCTCGACTTTGATTGCTCCATTGGAGAATGATTTTGCTTTCTCGACTTTCACTGCTCCATTGGATGATGATTGTTCTTTCTCAACTTTAATTGCTCCAACTTTTGGTGATTTTTCTACTTTTACAGCGCTTGCAGTTGGAGATTTTTCAGTTTGTTTCCTTCTAGTAGTCTCATTCACAACCAACTGTTTCCAACTCTCGAGCAAGTCACTAGCAATGGTTTGGATCTGATGTACTGGATGCTTGGTTAGAGCTCGCAGTCGTTTCCCAACCTAAAACACAGTAAGGTTGAAGTTCGAAAGAAGTATAATCAAAAGGCATTACTACCACTCATTTCTAGAGCAAATTCAACATGGGTAGTCAGCAGAGAAAGGTAGCAGGAAGGTAAGAGGTGAGCAGGGAAGAGTAAAAAAGAAGAAAAAAAAAGCCAAAGAGACTAAAAGCATTAAGCAAGCAGAGCACATAAGAAAGTTTATGCCATTGCTTTCTTCAAAGCAGAAATAGCATCCCAATAAAAAAAAAAAAAAACGACTGTCATCATTCAGAACTATCTATGTACAAGGACAATTATTGGATAGAGAATACTAGACAAGTAATGCTTAAGCCTGAACGACCCTTGCTCCCTAATTAAGAAAAGCATCCAGTCACAGAAACGCTAAAGCAAATGGACATTCCTTTCGATGGGGTTGTGTGTAACTGAGAGGTGCAACCAGTCTCGAAGGAAGATGAAATATATGTAAGGCTAGATTGATACCCTACAATAGCTTGTGGATGATAAAAATGGAAGCATTCCCTTAGTAGACATATAATCCCTGGAAATGAACATAAAAGGCTAAACAGCCTGTTTGGGAGAAAAGAGAAGGCCCCCTGAGAAGTACTTAATGATCAACAGTGAAGAAATTGGCAATTTGAGACCATGAAAACAAAGTCTAACCAATCTTATCTAATCTCATATACAACAGAGTTCTGGAAAACCAAAGTAAAGAACTTGATTAACAAACGAGGACAACATGAATTTGGCCTGATGTATGAAACAGAACAGGAAACATGAAATTTACAAAAGAGAACCGAAAATCCAGAAATGGGTTAACTGCGAATTGAGCAAAGAAGTCAACTTTAAGGCCAAGGAGAAAGCAGAGACAACGCACCTGAGAGGAGACCAGAATCTCGTATGTAATTGGGTAATCTCCGAGCTGTTTGAGGGCATCGACGCATCGACCGACCTCCGGACCGTTGGAGGAGATGTCGTCGCCGACGGCAGCATCGCCGGCTTTTTTCGCAGACTCAAACAACTCGATCACCTCTATGTCCTCGGGGCTTAAACGAGGCATTCTCGGGAGCAATTGAAATTGGGGGCGAATTCACGAATTGCAGAATAACGGAGCAGACAGCAATTAGATCGGGGCAGATCTCGGCAGAGGAGTGGAGAAACGAAGGCACCCAGAATCGATCTGCAGACAAGGATTTTTCACGACAAAGCAGTAAAAAAGCTCTCCCTCTCTCGGCTCAGTCGTTTTCCGCCAATTGGAGTTGCAGAGGGTCGGAGTATGTCTTCTATCGCGTCCGTGTCTTTCTGAAGGAAGGGGATGATAAGGCAGGTAGTGTGGGGGAAAACACTCAACGGCTGAGGTTTAGAGAAGCTACCGGCGAAGGAAATGAGATAAACGGTTGGTGATCCTTCTCCAGCTCCGTAAGCGTCCCCCTCTGCTCATTAGGGTTCGTCTTCCGGTTGGATAGGGAGCGTGATGGGCCGCCTTTTTCAGTTCAGGGGAATGCACTGCGGGCTGTGTGTTTAGGTTATACGGTCCAGGTTTTCTGTTGGGCTTATTCAGGAGGTCAGGGCCCATCCATCTACGTTGGTAGCTCACTTTTCATGTGAGATCAAGGAAGTCAATCGGTTTAGCGCTTTTTTTCCCCAGAGCAATCGGTTTAGCTCATTGCCCCGGTCGAGGAGTGTGGATCCCATGATTAAGGGGTGCTTAGTTACTTGGCTAAACCTCTCCCAGCTCTTAGATCTGGACACAACAATCTGACGGTTAAAAAGTGGAAAGGGCTATTTAATTAATGACAGGGGTAGTTTGGATATTATAGAATATTTCGAAGTATACAAACCGGACTTACAATCAGTACAAACCACACAAACATACAAACAGTACAAACTACAATGACAAAATATACAAAATAGATTTACAAACATTATAGACGTATGAACTGTACAAACAATACAAACTAGACCGACAAACAATACAATTATACAAACCATACAAAAAAGAATAAATAATCGGGTTGAATTTGGAGGCTCCATCCCTATATAGAGGGCTCCGTCTCAAAGTCAACCCGGTTGTTTTTTAGACATACAAACATTACGAACATGGTGGATAAAAATGACAAACTAGACTGACAGTCCATACAAACTAGAAAAAACACCCGAATTGACTTTGGAGGCTTCATCCCTATATAGAGGAGTTCCTTCCAAAAGTCAACCAGGTTGTTTTTTAGACATAAAAAATATTACAAACATGATTGACAAAAATGATAAACATGGTGCACAAAAATTACAAAGTTTACAAACATTACAAAAGAAATCGACATACATTACAAAATAACAAAGCGTACAAACATATCAAAATAACCCGACATACAGTACAAAGCATACTAACCGTACAAAATGTCACTAAAAATGACAAACAAGAATGATAAACAATACAAACCGAATCTATACAAACATTACAAAATAGGTCAACAAACATCACAAATCCATCAATGTGGCCGGAAAGTCTCCTCCAATCGCCGGAAAAGTCTCCTCCAGTCAGTAGAAAATCTCTCTCTCTCTCTCTCTCTCTCTCTCTCTCTCTCTCTCTCTCTCTCTCTCTCTCTCTCTCTCTCTCTCTCTCTCTCTCTCTCTCTCTCTCTCTCTCTCTCTCTCTCTCTCTCTCTCTCGTGCCTGCAAAAGGCATTTGGGCCAAAAAGGCCACGACCGCCATCGGCAAACAGAAACGGACGGCGGTCAGGAGGGTCGCCGGTAGGTAGCTGGGAAGTTGATTTTTTATTTCATTTTTTAAATAAATAATGTAATTACCAACTTACCCTTCATTAAGGTAGATTAATTTGAACCATAAGATTTTAATGAACCTCAATGGCTGAGATTGACTTAGTTATGTGACTAATGGACCCCCCTTAGTCACCTGATCTTATCCCCCGGTCGAGCAAATGAGTTGAGAGTTAATGGCTAGACTGTTTTAGTCTCAATATATGAAAAATTCATTGTATAAAAATTATAGAATAAATACAAATTAACAGGCAAGTCTTTCATTTTAAACAAAATGATATCAAAACCTTTTCGAATACGATTTACCAATCAAATCATCAAATTTGCGTCCGGTCAACCGTTAGTTGACTCTAATGTGATAACTAGCTTGGACCCGGCCAGTTGGCCGGAATATTCACATTTATTTGGGGAAAATATCTCAATTCTTATTTTTTTAGAGATTTTTATTGGGTTAATATAGTGAAAATCTCCAAATATTGCTATAAATTATGAATGTTTCACAATCATTCTATTTAATCATTTGTTGAAATCTTTTTTACTTGATTTACATACTTGATCAAGATTTTCTATCACTTCACATTTATGAATTCAATCCTTAACCTATTATAATTTTGTTTCAACCAAGTGGAGTAAATGTGGTTATGAGAAATGCGATATGAGTTTAGATAAGTGTATATATGGTATAAGTGTGATTTGGTGCAACTTTTGTCAATCAAAGTCCAAAACTACGACAATTAAACAATTTCACTACCTAATTAATGGAATATGAATACATCGTGTTGTGAGACTCTTTTCTGGCTATTTGGTAGGCTAGTGCGAAAAGCTTGAAATGATTACAACAAAACTGAGTTTTCGTTAAATAAGAAAAATCGAATTTGTAACAAAAATCAAAGTGAAAACCAACTTTGTCCTAAAATATCATGTTTAGGGAAGTGGATAGGTAGCAAAGTCCATGCTCATAAAAGGAACTATGAGTTACAAAAAATCAAAGAAATATAATTAATTTTGATATCCTTATTTAAAATATCATGAGAACCTTAGCTAGAACCTATTAAAATACATTCCCAACTTGTGTTGTAGAGTGCTCTTTTCATATTCGGGCACTTTTTTTATAGAATCTCCGATGCGGTTTTACAATACTAAAATAAATTCAATAATAATAAAGAATATTTAAACTATTGGAAATAATTTAAAACACATAGACCAAACTGTGATAAAATTTTGATCCGGTTACGATTTAAACATAAAATTTATTTCATTTTGACATGCGGTCAAACAAAGATTAACCTCGTTGACCAGGGGTAAACCAAAACCATTTTTTGGTTCAGCACTGGTCAAATCATGTCAACCCTCAGTTTGACCAAGGCCAACCGAAATTGAAAAAACACATGATGGTTCCCTAACACTGTATATATGTAGACCTGGCAATGTATAAGACATGAATTATATATTATTTCACACCATTAATTGACTGTAATGTGGGGTTAATAGAATACATAGTAATGTCTTACCAAGAGTCCAACAAAATTCATATTTTGTGATGGGTGCAAGGTTGTCAAACCGGTTTATGCCAGTGTGCCGGTTTAGCAAGTGAAATGGTTTAACCGGTGGCACATACCGGTTTGTGCTGGTTCATGCCGGTCAATATTACAAATAAAATTATAAATACTCATATTTAAACATGACATTTAACGTCAATACCTAAACATTTATACTTGAATCCAACAAATAATATCAATATTTAACTTTTATACTCATAAAATAAATAATAGAATATTTTTATCAATTAAATTCTCTAAAATAATATCATTTTACTTAGAGATTCGTATATCGATCATGCCGGTCATACCGGTGGTGTCACGCTGGTTTTATGACTGGTACCGGTTGAACCCGGTATAACCGGTGGCACGCCAGCCGGCGTGACAACCATGGATGGGTGTATGTGATAGTGGAATCTAATTTTTATTTTGGACATTGGCCCAAACAATTACATTAAAAACTCCAAATTCAGGTCTAGAAGTTTTTTTGTTTTAATCTGCAGGTCTAAAGGCTTCAAAATATACAACAACCGTCCAAATAATTAAACTGATGGGCTTTATGTGTGGGCTTAATGGAATAATATTAATTGAGTAGCCCATGCACAGGTGCAGTGAAGTATTTGGGCGGGAAGAGATAAAATTAAAGTAATTAATGGACTATAATACCCCTAGCGGAAATTAAGGGGAGGCCAGCATTTTTTGAATGGTGGAAAGTCTACAAAACTCCACAATTAATTATTCTTTTGATGTGTTTAGTGAGATGAATGACTTTTAATGACGTGGCAAGAGTTCTCCTAGACTCTCCCCAATTCTCTTTTACCAGCAACAAAGCTTTCTTCATATGTATCTCTCTTGTCTTCTGCAGGGGTGGTAGTTCGGTTATTTCGGTTATAACTGGTAACCGACCGGCCGGTTATCGGTTAACCGAAATAACAACTCCCCCTACCAAAAATGGACCAAAATAGACTTTGGTTTCTTGTTATCGGTTAACCGAACCACTTTTAAGCCCAAAAACCATTTCGTCGAGCCTCCGATAACCGACCGAAGTTCGGTTACTTCGGTTACAGTCAGTGGACAACCAGCCGGTTAACCGATTACCGGTAACCGAACTGCCACCCCTAGTCTTCTGTAATATAATTCGCCATAGAAAAAGGAAAGAGAAAAGGTGAATCAGTAGAAGATGGGAGTCCAAAAGGAATAGAGTTTAAAAAGAGTTACATGAGGATTTAAGACGGTGTAATGATCTTCTCCTTCCTAATCTTCTCAGCTCCAATGCTGCTCGTAATCGTCGATATTTTTCTTCCAGACTCTCCTGTCTCCTCTCCCCTCCGCCTCTCTCTACACTCTCTCACCAATCTAATCAACTATAATTTTCGCTACTCTCTCATCCACATCCCACTCATTTCCATCATGAGATCCGTCTTCATCTTCTATAAGTGAAATCACTACTACAAACTAAAATTACACCTCCTCTCTCTCAGATGAATCAACTTGATTATGATTCCAAGTCTTTTGTTTTCCAACTATTTCAGGCTCTTACAACTTCTGTGACGAGCTGTGTAATGACCCAAGAGTCCTGGTATGATTCCGTAATTGTGCTAGTGTTCTTGGTATAAAAGGGAACCCAAAACATAAATGGAAGGCATGTTGAATGATGAATAAGAACTCTTAGATTTCTGAGTAGCTCTCTTTCTCTCTTCTTCTCATGTCTTTCTCTTCTCATATCCGTCTCTTTCTTTCCAAAACTCCATCGCCAGAGATGTCGATCCCGTCCGACAATTACAATTGATATCAGAAGAGCCCTCCTCCAACACCATCGGCGATGACACTCTCTTCTCCCATCGAGCCAATGCATGACAATTTTGAAAAGATTCACAATTCATTCTTGGAAATCATGGCGATGTTTTGTGAAGTGGAAAAGTGTTTGGGTGCTAATGTTTATCTGTCTCCTTCCTCAATGAGCAGGCGATGGGAAACTTGGACCATGTTCCTTCTCCCTTTTTCAATTTAGCTTTTCCCATGTTTCTGACCACCTCACCCCCATCATATCCGCGTACCGGAGAAAATCAAGATTGCGACTTCACTCATCCACCACCGCAGAGACCGTCCTTCTTCGACTGCGGACAAATTGGATCAATGTCGACCTTTTAGGTTCCTTCTCCAATGAGCACGACAATGGGAAATCTAGACTAGGTTCTTTCTTCCGCTTT